AAAACCAGGAGCTGACATTGGTATAATCCATAGCTAATTACTTGCCCCCCCCCTTTTTTTTTTAACAATTTAGCAATCAGTATTTCAGCCTTCAAAATATTTACAAGCTTTGGCCCAGCTATTCTATTTTGGTAATCTATCTGAAGGAAATCAAAAATATTAATACAAAACAAAGACCAGTAAAAAGAAAATGATTAAATTATAGTATGTCCATGTGATTTACACTCATTCAAAATATTTTTGAATAATCTAGGGGAAATGCCCAGTATTAAGGAGTAACAAAGCAAATAAAACCCCACCCAGGGTCTGAAACCATTATACATTGTATGATTGCAGTCATACCCAGTGAAAAAGGGCTGGCAAGGGATACTCCCATATCTTAGTGGTAATTATTTTCAGGATGTGGGATTGCAGGTAATTTTCATTTTATAATTAGAAGTCACCTTTTCACTTTGAAAGTCTTTTTGAAAAATTAAAATGCACTGTCTGCTTTAGTTGCATAAATATAAAAATGAAGGAAAAGGGAATGAGAAAAAACAGTTTGAGGAGCAGTTAGGATTGATGAAGCATTTTAGGTTGGGGGGTTTGATTTTATTTGTTCTGAGGGGAAGGATCTAGAAGAAGGAATATGATGAAGATACAAGAAAGGCATTAAATAATATTGGAAGATCCTAGAGGATATAGTCTGCAACAAGGACACATAGACAAATTAGCCTTGAAGAAGCAGAGAGAGACTTTTTCAGACATGGGAAGCAATGAAGATAGTTAGTGACACAAAGAAATTTTAAGGTAAGGAAGAAAGTTGAGGGACAGCAGATAATTGTCATTTTGGAGAAGACGAATTTCCAAGCAGTATAGGTAGCCCAGTTGAAGTTGTTAAATAATATGGACTATAGCCTATTTTGCCTCAGTTTCTTTGACATAATCCAGCTTTAGGAAGTTGAATACTGCTCATATAGAAAGATACAGAATGAAAAAGCACAATTTTAATTTTTTTATTTTTCCTAGGTCTGTATGATCATAAGGGACCCAGTAAGCACTCTTTTTCCTACCAAATTATTAATTTTTTTATTACTGTTAATTTTAACATCAGCATATTAATCCCATTGAACCTATGGTGTCACTATTAGGTTGTCATTGTCATCTGTCATTTCTAATTCCCTGTCTCTCAGGAGACTTAGCAGTAATAACATCTTTTTTTTTTTTTTTTTTTTTTTTTTGAGACAGAGTCTCACTCTTTTTGCCTGGGCTAGAGTGCCATGGTGTCATCCTAGCTCACAGCAACCTCAAACTCCTGGGCTCAAGCGATCCTCCTGCCTCAGCCTCCCAAGTAGCTGGGACTACCGGCATGCGCCACCATGCCCGGCTAATTTTTTCTATATATTTTTAGTTGTCTGATTAATTTCTTTCTATTTTTAGTAGAGACAGGGTCTTGCTCTTGCTCAGGCTGGTTTCGAACTCCTGAGCTCAAACAATCCGCCCACCTCGGCCTCCCAGAGTGCTAGGATTACAGGCGTGAGCCACCGCGCCTGGCCAGTAATACCATCTTTTTAACAAGGGGAGGGGTGGTTGGGGGCAGCTTGAACAACATAACAAGGCCTTGTCTTTATTAAAAATAGAGAAATTAGCCAGGTGTGTTCGTGTGCACCTGTAGTCGCAGCTACTCGGGAGGCTGAGGCAGGAGGATCACTTGAGCCCAGGAGTTCAAGGTTTCAGCGAGCTATGATCTGTGCTGATCCCACTGAACCCTAGCCCGGGAACAGAGCGAGACCCTGTCTCCAGAAAAAATAAAAAACAAGGGGAAAAAGACTTTTTATATTGTGAGTCATGGGAAGTGAAAACCTCAGAACTTTCCCTTACTGGGCCCAGTGGAAAATTTATCAGGACCTTTTGTAGAACAGTCTGCTTCTTTAATATGCTACCTTACCTACTTTATTTGCTCTGCTAAAATACACCCGACTTCTCAACTGGAACATTCTTCAGTATTACATTTTGGGCATAAAGAACAGTAGTGGAAAAAGTAGATGGAGGGATTAGTTGTAGTGAAAGGATTGTTGGGGGAGGGAAGGCCGTTGGGCAAGGGGGAAGGAATTATTATAAAAGTACTAGGGAAAATAGTCTATAATGAAGCCCAAGTGAGACTTGAAGGGAGCTGATGAACTGGGAAGATTGGGAGAGCGAAGGTCATGATGAGACTGAATAAAATATACTGTAGGAGGCAGGTAGAATCAATAGGAAGTTGTATTTGGAGGGTTTTAGAGTTCAAGATCTAGGAAGAGGAGCAATTTTAAGTATCAAGGAAATTTAAGGAATCAGTACTATGTAAGTTGACAGATGACAACAGTGTGAAACGGAGATCAGGATGTTAGAAGGTCCTGCTATGTTCCTGGTGAAAAGAAGTTAAAAAATATTTTAAAAATTAAAAAATATATATAAAAAAGATGTTAGAAGCGTGAACAGCATGGGTATTAAAATCCTCCAATTTTAATCCTCAACAACAAACCATAGCATTTTTGGAATCCGGTTTCTTCTACACCTTTATCACGGCAGATTTACCTCACGTCCTTGATGTTCCTCCTCCCTTGCATATCCCTAAAACTTGTCTATCACTTGATGTGCAGTTTAGTATGAATTTTCTAGCTGAAAGGTTTTTAGGAATCATGTAGTCAAGATAATGAATTTTGAGGTACAGAAAGATTAAGTAACTTTTCTTTGGTCATGTAACTCGTCAGTAGCAGAGTCAGACTTAGAAACCTCAATTTCCCACTTTTGGTCCATGCTACCAATCGTCACCTGTCATTTAAAAAGCAGCAAGAACCCTTCTTTCAAACTAATTAGTAATCTTTTTTTCTGTATCCCAAGTCATCAAGCAAAGTAATCTCTTAAAATAGAATGGAGAGGCCATACTCAGAGTCTCAAACTGAGTTTGGAAACCTCAAGTAGAGGAAGGGGGAGCAGTGTCAGAAAGGACTGTCCTTCATTCAGACCATATTTTTGGGTGGTTTAGCCTTCCTGCAGGCAGTCAACACTAATTAGGTGCTGACTGCTAGTTACTGAGGTGTTCCCTTTATTCAAAATAAACATTCGACGAACCCCCAAAGCATTGCTTGTTATACCTTACAGTCTCTACATGTAATTTGAGAATGTTGTTAAAATGCTAGTTCTGATACAGTAGGTCTGGAATGGGTTCCAGGGTTGTGCATTTCCAATAAGTTCCTATGTGGTACCCATGCTTTTGATCCAAAGATCACACTTCGAGTAGAAAAGCTCTAAAGGATTTCTGGGAAACATAGTTTGAAAATAATTTTTAAAATATAAATATTTGAGGAGATAGATATGTTAATTAGCTTCACTCCAGTAATTATTTCACTATGTATATCAAAACATCATGTGGTATACTTTAAATATATACAATTTTTATTAAAAATAAGATAAAAACACAGCAGTACATGTATTATGAGGGGAAAAACCCAATTTGATACATGGTTCTGCCTATTTCTTGAATGTATTAGATTTTATTTTGTTCAAGCTTTTCCTGAAAGTCCTAGAAGTATTAGTTAACACTGTATAGTGGTTTTCGGGTAGTAGATATCAGAGCCTTAGCTGAGGTATCTCTTAAACTGGCTACTCTTGCTCTTGTTTCTAATCCATGACTAGATCCCCCCTGGGAAAAAGGTATCAACTATATTTAGCTGACAATAGTAGTAGCAGTTTTCAATGTCACATTTCCTATTAGTGTCTTTCCCCCTTCTCTTTCCCTCTAATTGATGTCATTGATTTGAAGAAAACACAGCTCCTTAAAAAAAGAAAAAAAAAAGGTCTGTGGGCACTCCTACTCTAGGTCACTAACTTTGAACATTTTGTATACCTTTGTACTGGGGTAGAGGGATGGTGCCCAGTCCCTGGGAAATAAGCATACTTCGTTATCCTGGTGTGGGAAAGCCAACCCTACTTCAAACTTGAATTAGTATTAATAGCCAATGGAAATGAAGAAATGACGGTGAAGTTATCTGTGCTTATGATAAAATAGTGCTCTTTCTAGGGCATTGGGATTTTGAGAACTTGACTTTGTTCCTGCTTATACAGGGCCTTCTGAAGACTGACTTGAAATATGAACCAGCATACCTAGTAGTTTTGAATGGTCCCAGGCGTTTCTGTGTCCTTGGGCAACCCCTCACTCTATTTGGATAGCTCTGGGAGTTATATAGGATTCTACCCAAGGGCTCTTCATGTATTTGATAAGGCTGGCCTAACATTTAGGAAGCTTTTTTCAAGCTACCAAAACTAAAGTCTTTGTCTTCCTGCTGGTTTTTTCCTTAAATTCAAAGAGCATTCATAAATTTTCTCCTCCCCTTCTTTTTCTGCCTTGCTTACCCAGAGTGAACACAAATGGGTCAGATGACCCTGAGGATGCAGGAGCTGGTGAAAATAGGAGGCTAGATGGGAATAATTCTCCATCACTCTCAAATGGCAGTTTTAAACCTTCTAGGCCTCCGAGACCTTCACGACCACCTCCACCCACCCCACGTAGACCAGGTGTGTATTCTAGCCCTTAATACTGTGATTGTAAATAATGTTCTGTTTGGGAATTGATCCTCAGGTAAATGTCAGGAGATCCTTTCAGGTCAGTTTTCTGGCTGTATTTTTACATTTGAGATTTTGGCCAAGAATGATCTTTCTGTAAGTAACCAAGGAGTACCTTTGCCCTAAATTTTCTTTCCAATGTGAAGTTACTGAGGCAGTGCTCTATTGAGAGTGAAAATCATTTGAGCATTATATGAAGTATAGACAGTACAGATAACATGGCAGCTTTCTTGCATGGTTTGTAACTGTGCGACATAAGCATGTCATATAGTCAGGGATTTGGTTGCTTATTCCCAGTATATTCTTCAAAAAGATAATTAGTAAATGGCAGATAACCCAACAATGCTAAGTGATTCAGATTTTAAAGCTAAAATTACACAACAAATGAGCATATTTTATTTCATAAAAATGTGAACATCTTAGGTAGAGTATTCATTTTTCTGATTAGCCAGAACAAATCTTTAATCTTTTATTATTTCTCTCTGCTGGTATGTGGGTAGAGAATGCAAAGTAATTAAACCAAATATTAGAAAAGTAAATTGGTGTCCACAAATCATTTCATTAAATGAGTTTGTATTTATTAATAATTATACATCTTCCCCTTCCTCTGTAGATAATTTTGTTAACAATGTATTCCAAGTGTTTAAGATTATATACCTCTTTATTATAATATTGTTGACTCCCTCTAGGAATTGGTTTTGCCAACAAGTATTTCTTAAAGATGTAATAAGTGGGCCGAGCGCGATGGCTCACGCCTGTAATCCTAGCACTCTGGAAGGCCGAGGTGGGTGGATTGTTTGAGCTCAGGAGTTCGAAACCAGCCTGAGCAAGAGCGAGACCCTGTCTCTACTAAAAAAAATAGAAAGAAATGAATCGGACAACTAAAAATAAATAGAAAAAAATTAGCCAGGCATGGTGGCGCATGCCTGTAGTCCCAGCTACTCGGGAGGCTGAGGCAGCAGGATTGCTTGAGCCCAGGAGTTTGAGGTTGCTGTGAGCTAGGATGATGCCACGGCACTCTAGCCGGGGCAACACAGTGAGACTCTGTCTCAAAAAAAAAAAAAAAAAAAAAAAAAAAAAAGATATAATAAGTGATCAATAACTATTTATAAGAATATTATTGCTTCTCAGCCAGATCTTCCATATTAAAAGCAACATCAAAAATTGGTCTCTAATCTGCAGGATCTCAAAGGAAAATAGTTTTAAGGATTTGGAAAATTACTGAATGAACTTACAATACCAAGGAATACTAATGCTTTCCTTTCTAAACATTTTTATTTCCTGTGACATCAATAAATCAGCAAATCTGTGTATGCTTTGTAATTAATAATGAAACCTAGGGGTAGACAGGACCTAAGTGAGAACATTGACTATTTCCCAGTATTTATTTTGAGTACTTTTCACTGGTGTATATACATCTTAAATTTTATATTTGTCACCTGTCTTATTTTATAAAGTTAAAATGCTATCTTGAATTTAGATTTCAGAAAATAAAAGATTCTTTTCCCATTTTCCCCACATCTTCTATAGCATCTGTCAATGGTTCACCATCTGCCACTTCTGAAAGTGATGGATCTAGTACGGGCTCTCTGCCACCAACAAATACAAATACATCAGAAGGAGCAACATCCGGATTAATAATTCCTCTTACTATATCTGGAGGCTCAGGCCCTAGGCCATTAAATCCTGTAACTCAAGCTCCCCTACCACCTGGGTGAGTAACTTTTTTGATTAACATTTGTTTTCTTTGTGTTTCTGCATATACTCAGTAAGGAAAATAATACTAAATTCCATTCTTTCAAAAACTGTCTTCAAGCCATTGTTACTGATTTTCTAGGGTCTGAAGTCAAAATAAACAAAGCTTCACCATATTTGAAATCTCCCCTTCATTTCCAGGGCAAAGTGGAAGAATATACTTTTTTATTAAAGGACTCTGAAAGCTAACCAAGGCCAAGTCAAAATATCACCTAATTTAGATTGCTTTTTTTTTTTTTTGAGGAGGGGGGATTTCTTTTCAAAATCAATTTTTTTGATCATAAAATCATTTATAACAAAGTAATAGATAATTTAGAAAACTGAGAAAACTAGTACTCATAATCCCATTTTAATCTCTGCTTATTTTTAAGATTAGTAATATTCTTAAGTATAATTTTATACATACAGACAATGTGGCATTTATATTATTCCAGAGCTGAGAATGCTAAGCAAAATTAATTGGCTGATAAGTTAATAAACTTGTGATAAGAATTTTAATTACTAAACAGATTAGATTACTTGTATTGGTAGTTAGGCCATTTTCCTTTTGGTAAGTCTACATGAGAAGCCAAACTAGAAGGTTGTTCGTGGAAGAGATTAGCAAAAAGAAGCTGAGTGCTCTTGGAAGTCAGTGCTGTTTCCAAGCTATGATAGGTTACTACTATATTCTTCACTTTGGGGCTAACCTTACTAAAGAGGCTAGAATACTCAGATTGGCCAGTCCTTAGACTTCTCCCCTCTTTGTTTTCAGTTTTTCTAGCACCCAAACAAACTATTGCCCTTCAGTCCTTGTTCAGCTTTCATAATATTAATTACAGCATTCTTTTCTATATCAGTCCTGCATATACCCTGATCAGATTGAGAGTGACTTTGGTCTCCTAGATGGATCAACCTTTAGAAATACAGTTTGTATTTAGAAATACAGTTGGTCTCTTAGAGCAGATACTTGTGTGGAAGAAATCTCATTAACTATGTGCCACCCTCAAAAGATGATGACATTTCTTGACTTTATTCCTAAATTCTTTTGGTATCTTCTTTATAAACTGCCATGTTTATTAGCCTCAGTTCTATAATATGGTCATTTAAGGAAAAAAGACAAACACAGGATTAAAAAGCCAAGCTACTCATACAAATACCCTACTAGCCTTTTAAATTTTGTATTTAAGTTGGGAGCAGAGAGTGGACCAGCATGGGCGAGTTTACTATGTAGATCATGTTGAGAAAAGAACAACGTGGGATAGACCAGAACCTCTACCTCCTGGGTAAGTATCTGAATTAAAAAAGAACAAATTTGTTTATTCAGAATTGTGGGTTATATGTGTACACAATATTCCCTGCATTTCTGTTTTCCCTCTTCCTGTCCCTTATCTACTTTGTTTTGTGGTAGGTATAAACTAGAAAGAAGAAAGCTAAAGAGAATTGATTCACAGCATGATGAATAAATCTTGTTTTCACTCATTTCTGACCTAAAGATTCCATAGATCTTGTTCTTCAGGTTTTCCTTTCTGAACTGTTTACCTGGCTTAGAGTTTCAGAGTTTTAGGATTAATTTCTTCAAGAGAAATTATTTAACTGAATAAGAATCATAGCCCCTATCATATATATGAAGATAAAGTTCCTATTACATAAAAAAACTTTAATAGTGAAGTCATTGTAAAATAGTGAAGTGTACATTAATACATAGGGTTAAGCATTTAATATTTACATTATATAAAATAATTGGAAGAAAAATTATTTTTTAGTCCAGAGGAAAGTAAGTAACAAACGTGGAAAAATATTTAACCTTGCTAATAATCTTACAGAAATACACATGTAAAAGGTACTGTTTTACTTATTGAATTAGCAGATAATATCAAGTGTTGAACCTGGGCTTGATCCCCAGCCCATTGCCACCAAAAAAAAAAGAAATTAAAAATCAAGTCTTGGTGAGGAACTTTACCTCATAAATTGCTAGTGATAGTGTAAATTAGTTGCACCTCTTAAAGAAAGCACATCTGTCTATCTATATATCTCTGTAATAATGTATATACCGTTAGTAATCCTCTCCAGGAAATTTATCCTAAAATAATTCAAAGGAAGAAAAGAAGTTTACTGTATTAAGGGTACTTATTATTTTACTATTTGTAATATCAGAATAGTGGAAATAAACCACATAGAAATGATCAAGTTATTGTATCAACATTTACTTAATTAAATATTTTACACCCGTTTAAAATGATAAATAAGAAAGTTGTATTCTTTTGAAAAAGTGCTTTTTGATATCTGTGAAAAGCTGTATATACAATTCATGTCCCTATTAAGATTGCAGCAGTAAAAAGAATATTGGAAAGAAACTAAAAACGTTTTTCTCAATGACTGGTTGAGACTCATTTACTGACTATACCTTGCATTTTAAGGACTTAAGACATCTTAACTTTCAAGAAACACATTTTTAGTAACATTCCTCTGAAGTTCGCTTATAGACCATTTAAAAAAATATAAAAGACTTCAGATAAATCAAAAGTAATTTCTCAAGGTAAAATCTTATATCTGTTTCACAAATATTTGTTGAATTAGCTTGTTTTTGTTCTGATTTAGCTGGGAACGGCGGGTTGACAACATGGGACGTATTTATTATGTTGACCATTTCACAAGAACAACAACGTGGCAGAGGCCAACATTGGAATCTGTCCGGAACTATGAACAGTGGCAGCTACAACGTAGTCAACTTCAAGGAGCGATGCAGCAGTTTAACCAGAGATTCATTTATGGGGTAAGTAGCCTGTTGTATAATAAACTAATGAGAGCATTCAGTTTTTAACCCTTCCCTATGAATGTCATGTAAAGCACTAAAAAGAAGGTATAAATAGGATGACAACCCAGTTGTTGCTGGTAGTAAGTATTTTTAGACCTTGTGTAGAGTATTCTGTGTATATAATCTATTCTTTCCTTTTTCTGATTTCCTAAAGTTCAACTTCTTTTTCTTTTTAATGTAAAAAATAAACAAAAAAGAAGTTAAGACAACTCAAAATTCTTTTTTTTTTTGGGACAAAGTCTCACTCTGTTGCCCTGGCTAGAGTGAGTGCCGTGGCGTCAGCCTAGCTCACAGCAACCTCAAACTACTGGGCTCAAGCGATCCTCCTGCCTCAGCCTCCCGAGTAGCTGGGACTACAGGCATGCTCTACCATGCCCGGCTAATTTTTTCTATATATTTAATTTCTTTCTATTTTTTTTAGTAGAGACAGGGTCTCACTCTTGCTCAGGCTGGTCTTGAACTCCTGAGCTCAAATAATCCGCCCGCCTCAGCCTCCCAGAGTGCTAGGATTACAGGCGTGAGCCACCACTCCGGGCCAACTCAAAATTCTTGAACAAAAGAATAGTAAAAATAAACCCAAACAGTTTAAAAAGAATTAAAACAATCCTAAATTTAGTACTGCCTTAACTTACCAGAACCATTTGAAAACATGGATCTCAGAGCACCTGACTCTTAAGTGGTTGTACAGACTGATGATAGAGTTGAATAACGTTTTAACATTGGAGGGTAAAGCTTTGCCAGGCAGAGTGGCTCAAGCCTGTAATTCCAGCATTTTAGGAGGCTGAGGCGAGAGGATTGCTTATGGCCAGGAGTTCGAGACCAGCCTGGGCAACATAGCAGGACCACATCTCTATTAAAATATTAGCTAGGCATGGTGGTGTGTGCCTGTAGTCCTAGCTACTTGGGAGGCCGAGACAGGAGGATTGCTTGAGCCCAGGAGTTCGAGGCTGCCGTGAGCTATGATCACACCACTGTACTCCAGCCTGGGTGATGGAGCAAGACCTTGTCTCAAAAATGAATGAATGAATGAATGAATGTAAAGCTTACCTAATAAGTTATTTGGTACTCTGGGAGACTGAAAAAATTTGATTCCTTCTGGAGAGTATGCTAAACATATTGTGGCTTCAGAACTACATTATAATATCTTTGGTATAAAAACATTTCCTTTCTGGAAACAAATGGTTTAAATTTTATTTATTTTCTTTTAGAATAATATTGCAGCAATAGTGATAAGTACACCAAAATATGTTAATGCTTTCTTTGCTGTGAAATCTTTGGTGCTAGGTTTTTGTTTTTGTTTTAAGAGACAGGGTCTCACTTTTTCATCCAGGTTGGAGTACAGTGGCTTGATCATAGCTTGCTGTAACCTCAAACTCCTGGGCTAAAGTGATCTCCTGTCTCAGCCTCCCAAGTTGTTAGGACTACAGGCATGTGTCACCATTCCTGGCTAATTTAAAAAAATTTTTTTTTAGAGATGGCATCTCACTATATTGCTGAGGCCAGTCTTGAAATCCTGGCCTCAAGCTAGCCTCCTGCATCAGCTTCCCAAAGTGCTGGGATTACAGGTATCAGCCACAGTGCCCAGCCAAGTGCTAGGAATTTTATAATCTCTCAAATCTTGCGGTATCGTGGATCTTTTCTCTAATGAAAGAAAAACAGTGCTTTGAGAAATTTGATTCTGTGTGTCAAACAAGATGGATTTGTTTGAGTAACACATAGAACTTAAACATAAGCCAGGCACAGTGGCTCATGCCTGTAATCCTAGCACTCTGGAAGACCGAGGCAGGAGGATTGCTTGAGCTCAGGAATTTGAGACCAACCTGAGCAAGAGTGAGACCCGGTCTCAAAAAATATTAAAATAAAAAGAACTTAAACAAAAGAAAACCCACTTTCCCAGAGCTCAAAAAAAGCTGACCCTCTCCATCACCATCTCTTTCCCTCTACCGCATCACTATTAGCCCTATTAGAACCCATTAGACTAAAACTATTCCTTTCATATTCCTGTCCTCACTAGACATTACCTTTTCCCCCTTCTCTCCATATTCCTATTTTTTAAACATTTTTTTTATTTCTGCATATTATGGGGGTACAAATGTTTAGATTACATATGTTGCCCTTTCCTCCCCCCATCCCTCAGTCAGAGCGTTAAGCATGTCCATACCCCAGATGGTGTGCATCGTACTCATTATGTATGTATATACCCATCCCCCCTCCCCCCCTCCCATCTGCCTGACGCCCAATAAATGTTATTCCTATATGTGCGCTTAGGTGTTGATCAGTGAAAGCAATTTGATGGTGAATACACGTGGTGCTTATTTTTCCATTCTTGGGATACTTCACTTAGTAGAATGGGTTCCAGCTCTATCCAGGAAAATACAAGAGGTGCTATATCACCATTGTTTCTTATAGCTGAATAGTACTCCATGGTATACATATACCACACATATTCCTATTTTTTATACCTCATCATCATAGTAGTTATCACTCACTGATATGGACAAATTCACCTTTATATCAGCAGCCTTCCCTTTACTCCCTGGATATGATTGAGATACTTTTTTTCGTATAACAATTTTTCCTGCCACTTTCTCTAGAAAGAAGTTACTATATTCTACTTCCTAGTCATTGTAGAGGTTAAGTTAATTTTTGTCTCTAATCTCCTACCTTACCCTTTTTTTCATTTTTTTCTGTGCTATTTTACATCTTCCTTTCTTTGTAAATTATAATCACCTTTGGTATGCCTGGCCAAATTTCTTTTAGGTTTGAAAGCTTAGCTTGCCTGCCTTCTTTAAAACTAGTTTCTACATGGGTGTCCAGTGGTGGAAAGAGCATGGGCTTTGGAGTCAGACACATCTGGGTTCGAATCCTGGTTCCATAGTTACTTTGTCTATATGCTTTTGAGCAAGTTATTTAACCTCATCAAGACTCATTTACTTTATCTGTAAAAATATATATAAAGAGATGTATACAGATACAAAATTACCTCAGAGGGTTTTCTCTTTTTTTTTTTTTTTTTTTGAGGATTCTGTAAAATTTTCTAATATGTTTGGCGCATACTAGATGCTTAGAAATATTCCCATTTCTTCTCTCCTTCATATTCACAACTGTAAATGTGCCCTTTATCTCATTTTTGCAGTACGTAATCTTTCAAAACATTCTTTCTGAACAGATTCAACAAATTTCTGGGATACCTACTTGTGTATGTATTCATTCTTGTAAACTTGACCAATTTAGTACTCAGAGTCTTTGGAATTTTTTTGAATTACAGCTTTTATGTCATCATCCAAGTTCTTTTTTTTTTTTTTTTTATTTTTCCCTCTATAGTCCAAAATAATCTGACCCATTTTCTGAAATTCTTACTTTTTCTTTGTTATAGAGTGGTTCTAAATTATATAGAATTTGAATAGCCTATTTTAGTTACTCTTAACATAGCCAAAGATGTGAACTGAATTTTTTTAACATTCTTGATACCATCTACTTAAAAAATGGTGGGGTGATAGGATGTTGCTGAAAAATAGTCTGTTTATTGGGTATATAAAGGGGTTTTTGTCCACCACTGTTGTACTGACCCTTGTTACAGGGCAGTAGACTCATACACCCAGCATTTTTAATCTCAAAATGGATATGGTTGATGATGTAACACTGTAAAATGGCTCTTCCTGGCCCATGGCTTTACTGCGTGCATGTCCCCTGTTTATCTGTCCAGGGAGAGCCAGTGACTTACACTTGGATCTTAAAGAATTGTCAGTACAATTTGTCATATGCCAGACTTTTCAGACCATCATAGAACTTGGGCTCAGACCTTTTGTATTTTGATAGTATTTCCCGTTGTCCTCCCTCCTCTGACTCCTTTTCATGATTGTGTCTATCAGGAGGAGCAAGGCCAGTTCTTGACAGCTGTGTCTTCCAAGAGCTGTTAAATCAGAAATGGAATATCTCTCATATCCTTTAAAACCCAATCAGTTAACCTGTAATTAAATAGATCAGTGACATGGGGGAAAAAAGAAACAAAAAGAGACAGTGGGGGAGCCACTCTAGATTGAGACTTAAGAGATACAACCAAATGTAAGGTGAGGACTTTGTTTGGATCCTGATTTAAACAAGTAAACAGTTGGCATTTAATGAGGTATTAGATGATAACAAAATTAACATTGATTCTTTGCAAGGTGTGATAATGAGATTGTGATTATGTAAGAAAGTGTCCACAGATTTTAGAAAGGTATGCTAAAATATATAGGGGTGAAATGATGTTTGATTTTTGCTTCAGCAAAAAGAATGGGGGAAAAAGAGATAAATGTGGCAAAGTCTTGATAATTGTTGAATCTTGGCGCTGGGTATATGGATTTCATTGTCCTATTTTACTTATTTTTATTTTTCACAATAAAATTATTTTTAAAGCACTTAGATTCTATTTGTTTTTTCTTATTAAAGAAGAAAGGGCTTAACCAAGTTTTACTGAGTAACCACATAATTATCTCTACTTGATTATACATGTAAGCCAAAACACGCTCATTTTCCCTACACAGAGTCAGTATGACTTTTGCCTCTTTTTCCAAAGGTTGACTCCTGTTTTCCTTTTATCTTATCTAGGCAAACCTCTCTCTCTACCAATGTGAAAATTGCAGACAGAACTTTTAAAAAGTCTTCTATACAGTAGGCTTATTTATACTTTCCAGCTGGAATTCTTTCCTTTTACTCATCTGACAGATTGCTCTTCCTGCTCCCATCACTCTCTTCTCATAATTCTTTGTATATTCCATATTCTATATGTGATCTTCTGTTTTCAAGTTATACTTGCAAGATTTTTCTCAGCTATCTGATGACTCTGGGTACTGGTATTATAAATGATGGGGGGTTATATATTTTCTAATTTTTATATTATTTATATAGTACAATTTGTAGTAAAAAGGAAAAAATGCTCATTTGGGGGTAAGGATTATGTATTTGTAATAAATTTTAAATAATTTTAAATGTTAGATAATATTTGTAAAGTTGTTTTTCTTTAAGTTCACCAAACTAAAGTATATTGGCATTTATCTGTAACCATGTGACACTTCCCTAAAATGTGAACTCTATTAGATGTGTTATGTTGTACATGGCCACAGAAGGCAAATCGGAACTCAAGCTTGCTCTCAAATAATCTGCTTAAGTTGTTAATCATTTCACCACTTTTTGGTTCTTTTTAGAATCAAGATTTGTTTGCTACATCACAAAATAAAGAATTTGATCCTCTTGGTCCTTTGCCACCTGGATGGGGTAAGTCACATGAGATTTTTCATTGAATTCTTTTCTGTCAGTTTTTTGTCTGTGTTTTTGAAATTTATTTATTTTTGAATTCTGTCATTTGAAAATCAGATGTTTTATAGATGATACTCTGCCTATGTTTGAGTGAATATCTGGGAAGGTTTTTGGGTATATCAGTTTAATTGAGAGTGCCAAATAGGCATTAGACTCCTCAAATATTCTACATTGACTCTTTTATTACAAAACACCTTTGTTGAAATTTAGAATTATTTTACTCTTCAAAAGTTTAAAAATATTGATCACTCAGCAATAAAAAGGGAATAAACTATTGATACAACAATCTCGGTGGACCTGAAGGGCATTATACTTGCTGAAAAAAATCAATCTCAAAAGATTACATACTATATGATTCAGTTTATGTAACATTCTCAAAAGGATAAAACCAGAGATGCAGAACAGATCAGTAGTTGTCAGGAGACAGATGGGAGGTGGGTGCATATATAAGAGGTAAAATAAGGGGGTTCTTATGTGATAATGGAACAGTTCTGTATCTGGATTGTTGTGGTGATCACATGAATCTGTGCATGGCACAAAAGTGCATAGAAGCATACATCCACATAAATTAGTTCAGTTTTATATTATAAAATGGAGAAAATTTAAAAAGGTTTGCAGTTAACAGCAATGCACAGTGTAATTTCTTGGTTTCAATATTGTCCTGTAGCTATATAAGATGTTATCTTTGGAGGAAACTAGTTGAAGGGTACTGAAACTCTGCACAATTTTTGCAATATCCTGTGAGTAATAATCATTTCAGAATCAAAAGATTGACAAATTGGAATCACATTGGTTTTTCTAAAACACAGTTCAGAGTTTGAATAAGTTGACATTATCTGATAGAACAGTGGAAGGAGAACATGTGAGAGTGGCATCTTCATGCCCTACATCATGGAGCATGTGAGCACGCTCTGTTATTGAGTATATTTGGTACCTTAGGTATTAAAATTTTGTTAATAGACTTTAAGATGGGCCTGCTCTACCAGGTTCTGTTAGAGTTTTATCTCAAAGAACTGAAGATATTTCATAATACTGTGGTAAATTCAGAAAGTGATATTTCTTCTTGTCAGGAAACATTTGTACCAAGATTGATTGCTCTAACACTACTCAGTAATGAAGAAAACAATTGACTTGTCAAGATCACATAAATCTGGCTAATAAATAATACTGGCTGTATAATCCTTTCTTTGAGAAGTCCCATTGCTTTTTCATTAAGGCATTTACCCTCAAAATATAGAAGTCTGTGAATCAAAAAGTGTATTAGGCCACACTTATAACTGTTACTTTTATAGCTTATAATAAAAGGAGGACATATGAAAGTTGTGAATTTCTGTTTTCACCAAAGCCTGGTAGTCTGAAGGTAAGGAATTCTCTGGCTCTATTAGAGCCTCAGAGTGGTCAGTGAATAGTTGGTATGAAGTACTTTGGAAGAGAGGATTTTGCCCTTATGAGGCATATTAAACCCAACCTGTCAGATTGCATTCCCAGACATGGATGGTTTTCCCAGCTTTATTTCTAGTTGTATATCTGTGTTACAGAAGGAGAAATTGGTGCACTAAAAGAATATATCTGAAGGTCATTATGTATCCTCTTAACTTTATTGCAGAAAAACTATGACCTGCTTTATGGTCATGGTCAGAAACCATTTTATTCCTTCCCTGAAGCAGCTGTAGGAAAAACTGCCTCTTGCTCATAGAAACCTGAATTGTAGGCTATGTGGCCTTTATTAGAAAAACTTTTCCTATAAGCTTCCCTTCTGTATTTACCATTTTCCACATTATCCAAATCTTTCTCATTTTTACTTGAGCTAACAACACAACATTTTGCTAAAATACTGCTTCTAAAGAACCAGCTTATCCAGGTTATCAGCTTCTTGCCCTGCTGTTGTAGTCTGCTTATTTGTAGGTTTCACACTCCTGAAGTTGAAGTGGTACCCCCTTCCTGAATGATTATCCTACTACTCAGTCTGAACACTGCTTTATGGCTTTCTGCCTTTGGGGCATATACCTTATTTGTAGAACCAGTGACAGTGCTGGTTACTGTATCAGATGAGGAGACCGACCTGACATACCCTCAGGATTGACCCTGGAAATAGAATCCCAGTTTATTGCCAGTGTTTTCATTCTGAGATTGACAGCATTATTTTTGTGACACTATATATACATAGAAAAGTTTAACTTTGTCACTCTTTCAGACTTTTATATGCTAGGACTAGACATTACCACCTTATAAGCTGACAGCGAAGAATTTCTTTTTTAAGAGGCAAGGATCTCACTATGTTGAAGTGACTATTCACAGATGTGTGATCATAATGCACAATATCCTTGACCTCCTGGCCTCAAGTGATCCTTGTCAGCCTCCAAATTAGCAGGGATTACAGGCTCATATGCCACTGAGCACTGCTGGGCAATGAAGAATTTTAACACTTGCACACTATAGAGGCTGGAGAACCAAGAATGGTGTTGGTTCAACAATGTAGCTAATGGGGCTTTGTATAGTTGGTTTACCCATCAAGTGTATTTTGTCATTTTCATAGTTGCTATGAAAGAATACATAGAAGAACAAGAAGCTTCCGGTTTTACTGTTTTATTCATCAAGTCAAAGTGTTCTGACTTGCATTCAGATTTGATGTTCAATAATTTCAGTATTGTTTATCATGTAATTTTTCAACAAAGTAAGAAATCAGTTTTACAGCCATGGTACTTAGTACTCTCATTAAGTAGATGAGCCTTCAGTTTGCAAGTGTGTCTACTTTTGAAATTTTCTGTTTTTCACAGCCTCTTCCAAGAAATGTTGATATCAGCAGTATATACATAGAACATACATGGAGAACAAATTTGCTATTAAATTAAACCTTTTAAAGCTGTGATTTAAAAACTACAAAATCAACAATGCAATGAGAAATAGGTGAACTCAGATCATTTTGTTTTATTTTCAGGAAGACTATGCTAATGCTTTGCTTTTTTTTTTTTTTTTTTTTTTAAAGAGAAGAGAACGGACAGCAATGGCAGAGTGTATTTTGTCAACCACAACACTCGAATTACACAGTGGGAAGACCCCAGAAGTCAGGGGTAAGACCTTTTAGTTACTAGTATATACATAATCTCTTAAAGATTGTATTAATACTTTATTTCTGATTCAATTACAAAGATCAAAGTTACATGTTCTTTCGCCAAAAGCCTTAAACATTAATCACCTACATACTTGGGAAATAGAAAAAAAGTATATTATTGCTTTTATATGATGGAAAGCTTGCAAGTTTCTTGAGAGTGTAGGAGAAAAACCTCACTGAAACATGAGAATACACTTATATATTCAAAATATTCACGTATATATTTATTAGTAGTAAGAACAGATTAATAGTTCTAAAGCAGAGTTTCTTAACCAGATATTACTGGATAGAATTCAGAGTATGTGACTTAGAGGGAAAAAGATACATATTCAATTTCTCTAACCTTTACCTAAAATTTAGTATTTTCTTCCATTATGAATGTAGGCAATAAGCTAGTGTAATTGGCAGTGCTTAGGACTTTGCCACCAGTAGAAATGGCAAGGGGTTTGAAATATTCTGTGGTTGTTGCAGATATCTAAAATATTGGTTATGTACATCATTGCAAGAACTTGCTAGTTAGGTATTAATAAAGAGACATATGTTATCACAAGATTGTCTTTTTAATATTTTGGTATCTATTTACATATAATTGCTTATTATCTCTAACATTATGTAATAGTGTGTGTATTACTTTGCTAGGGCTACCTTAACAAAGTAACATAAATGGAGTGGCTTAAACGACAGAAATTTACTGTCTCATAGTTCTGGAGGCTAGAAGTTTGAGATCAAGGTGTTAGCAGGGCCATGCTCCCTCTGAAGGCACTAGGGAATGATCTAGTCCAGGCCTTTCTCCTAGCTTTTTGTAATTCCTTGGCTTATGGCAGCATAACCTCCAATCTTCACATGGCATTCTTCCTGTGTGTATGTCTCTGTGTCTAAGATTCATTTTTTTATAGGGACAATCCTAATCCTATAGGATTAGTGGCTGACCATACTTCAGTATGACCTCATCATAACTAATACATCTGCAATGACTGTTTTCAAATAAGGTCACATTTTGAGGTAGTGGGGGCTAGGATTTAAACATATGCATTTGGGGAGAGGACACAGTTCAAGTCTGCTTTTATCAGACTGCCAGAGTGTTCTGTTCTGCAAGGAATTTGGCAGACTGTACAGTCAGAGGGCATAGTCCTCCATAAAACTGTCCTCACTTCAGACATCAGCCACAAATTTGGGGGTCTTCAGAACCACTCATTTCAGACCAACAGCCTACAAATTTGGGGATCCCTGCAACCACTTTTAGGTATGATAATTCACTAGAAATACTCAGAACTTACTGAAACTTATTACACAATCACATTTATTATAGAGGAAGGATACAAATTAGAACCACCAAAAGTAAGAGATGGATAGGGCAGAGTCTGGGAGGGTTCCAAATACCCAGCATTGTTGTGGGACAATACACATTGATGTTGAGTATTGGCTAACCAGGGAAGTCTTTGGTATCCAGAGTTTTTGTGGGGCTTGACCACTGCATACTGCCCATTTGTCTCAAGGCCTTACTGGTTGTTTGGGCTAATAACTTCAGTTTCTAGTTCCTCCAGAAGTTGGAACTTATGTGGCATGTCTCAAAGCCTCCATCATAAATCACATTGTTGGCTGTCTAGTGATTAAAGTCCCTAGGCAAACAAAGATACTCCTAATAGGCAGGAGATTCCAGGGGCCTAAAGATAACTACCTAGTAGCGGAGGGCAAAGGCCAGACCTCTCTTTGGGGATGATTAATTCTTCACTACGCATATTCCATGGCTCAAAAATTTTAATAACTTCTGTTATTAAACAGAAGGTGGGCTTTAAATTTAATATAGCTATTTGTTGCTGCCAGTAAATGATAGTGTTTTTTATGGAGTTATTGTATTTAACTGAAATTTATTCAATTTCCAAAAAGGACAGAAGGAAGAATTTCAAAGGTAGCATTCTTCTTTAAAATTCTATCTCTAAGGATAGAATTGAACAATTCACCTTTCTGTAATTTCCTACTTTTTTTTTTTTTTTTTTTTGAGACAGAGTCTCACTCTCTTGCCTGGGGTGAGTGCCGTGGCGTCAGCCTAGCTCACAGCAACCTCAAACTCCTGGGCTCAAGCAATCCTACTGTCTCAGCCTCCCGGGTAGCTGGGATCACAGGCATGCGCCACCATGCCCGGCTAATTTTTTCTACATATATTTTTAGCTGTCCAATTAATTTCTTTCCATTTTTTCGTAGAGACGGGGTCTCGCTCTTGCTCAGGCTGGTCTCGAACTCCTGAGCTCAGAACTATCCGCCCACCTCGGCCTCCCAGAGTGCTAGGATTACAGGCGTGAGCCACCGTGCCCGGCCAATTTTCTACCATTTTTTTGTCGTCCTTGGACCTTTAATGTCATAGAGCTAAAGTTAGAGTCATATTTTAACAAATAACACAAATGACCTAGTTCTTTTATTTTATTTTCAAGACAACTTGTTACTGAGTCTATTTTGCAAATACAATTACAACAAATTACGTCAATATAAGAGTAGGGCCAGAGTGAGACTAGAGGCACAAAAACTAGTTAGGTGGCTCTTGTTAATTACAAACCTCTTTTTTTTACATTTTTGGTAATTTATATTTAGGGTGGGTCTTTAGGTAAATTAGCCAAGTAGAGAGAAGACAGTTGTATTCAGTTATATGAATAAAGCTAAATATTCTTAACCTTTTGACATAGTTTAGAAAATATGATTCTAGGCAATGGTTCTCAGCCCTTTGTTCTTCTGAAGTACACTTGAGGAAAGTGACACTGTCGACAGCAATAGTGGCTCTCTACAGCAGTGAGCCTAAGTGCCTCCCAGGCTTCCCTTTCGTCCTCTCTAATGTGAATTTGAATATTTCCATTGTTTTCTCTCATACCAAACCCATCAGATGAGAAAACTGAAGCTGTAAAACAGGAAAAAATGAATTGGCACGTATGGATAAAATTTGCAGCATTTATTACACCTAACCAACTAAAAAGACTGGCTTCCATTATCTCAGAATACACAAATAAAGACAACAAAGCGAGTATGCAATAGTTCCCTATTCATTCTTATATTTAATATTATGAAATGTAAAAATTCTTAGTCTCAGTCATAAGTAGTTTTGAATATTTACGCTAATGCATCAATTATTTTAATATATGAAAAATTGCAATTAATTCATTTATATATCACTATTGCCTTATAATCTAGTTCCTATTCTAAAACTCATGTAATATTTGCAAGGTGGGAAGTTGTTGCCAAATACACAAACCAAAATATGTGATAAATGATGTGCTACCAGTATGTAGGAAGTACTTTGAGAGACCTGAAGAGCATGATCAATCTATAGTAGCAATAGGAGTAATGATAGCTACAATTTGGAATCTTACTGTGTGCTTTACTTTTTATTTGTGTCATTTATTCCTCATACAGTCTTATTACATTGACATTATTATCTCCATTTTATGGATAAAGAAACTGAAGTTTAGAGAGGTTAAGCAGCTAGCCTAAGACCACAGAGTTTTCAAGGTATAAAGATAGGTATTAAGTGGATAGGAATACTTTATAAAGAACATTTGAGTTGTCTTAGCAGAAGAATAATAGAAAGGTATTTTGGACAAGGGGAAAGGCTTCACTTGGAGGTGTGTCACATCATGTCTTATTTAGGGAAATGCTAAGTAGCCATATACTCTGAAATCAGAGGATTCATGGAAGAGAGTTGGAGATTTGGGTGTAGAGATAAATCTGAAATGGAACATTGAGGCTAGAATATGCAGGCTGAGTGAGTGCCATATGAGGACTTTAGATCTTAATCTCTGGTAGTGGTGGAACAATGATAGCCCTTTAAAGAGAGAACTAATTTGATTAGATCTCTATTTTAGGAAAATACTCTGTCAGCAATGTCAATATAAGAGTAGAGCCAGAGTGAGATTAGAGGCAGAAAAACCAGTTAGGTGGCTGTTGAGAAAGTGTGGAAGAGAGACAAATAAAGCCAGAGAAAAGATGGTGTTGGGGATTAAAAATAGGGATGAACATGAAGATTTATAAAGCAGGATGGGCAGAGCTTGGTTACCATGAGATGTTTAAGGTAGGTCATTAGGCAAATGGGGAACATAGGCCAACTAGTCAGAAGACTGAATGGAATTTTATGTGTTTGTAGGATGCCAGATAAAGATATCTAGCACACAACTGAAAATACTGGGTTAAATCATTTTCTAAAAGATTTCTGCTACCTTTATGGGTATTTTTAGTTTGTATACTTGGCAAACAAGCAACTCTTTAATAATTTTTGTTAATATTTTTTCCTTATGTTTTGTAGTCAATTAAATGAAAAGCCTTTACCTGAAGGCTGGGAAATGAGATTCACAGTGGATGGAATTCCTTATTTTGTGGACCACAATAGAAGAACCACCACCTATATAGATCCCCGCACAGGAAAATCTGCCCTGTAAGTTTTCTAAACATTTCTAAACATTGTGGATTAAAAGTAAAATTATTTCCTCAGATTTTGATATAAAGATCTGACTTAGCAAAAAGTGGGAGTCTTACTATTGGCTTGCCAGTAGGTCTCTGTTCACTAAATATTTTGTGTTTCTGTGTCTCTCTTGGATACTGTATCCTAGAGATTTTTCATATTTGTTACCATCTGTTCATAGCACTAAATGAAACTATTTAGAAATTAGTGTAGTACTGCTTATCAACTAATCCCTGATTTTAGATTTCTACTTCTTTCATTTCCATTACCTTTTAACTTTAAAAGCTCCCATTACTCCCCCACCCCCATTTTTGAAAGGTAACTTTTTAATTGCTTGATGTTTTGTTTTGGGTTTTTAATGTGGTAAAATATATGTAACATAAAGTTTCCTATTTTAACCATTTTTATGTGTACACTTAATTGACATTAAGTACATTTACATTGTTACACAACCACTACCACCATCCATCTCCAGAATATTTTTATCATTCCATAGTGAAACTTTGTACCCATTAAACAACAACTTCCCATTCCATCCTCCCTCCACCAGACCTGGTAACCACTATTCTTTCTGTCTCTGTGAATTTGACTACTCTAGGTGCCTCATATTAGTGGAATCATACAATATTTATCCATTTGTGTCTAGCTTATTTTACTAAGCATCATGTCTTTAAGGTTTATTCATGTTGTAGCATGTATCAGAATTTCATTCCTTTTAAAACTGAGTAATATTCCATTGTATGTATATATCACATTTTGTTTATCCATGGACATTTGCATTGTTTCCACTTTTTGGCTGCTTTCACTTTTGTTTATATACCCAGAAGTGGAATTGCTAGATTAAATGGCAATTTAAATTTAAATTTTTGGAAAACCACCATACTGTTTTCCACAGTGGTGACACCATTTTACATTCCCATCAGCAGTGCAAAAGGATTTCAATTTCTCCACATCTTCAACTCTTCTGTCATTTTGGGTTTTTTGTTTGTTTTATAATAGACATCCTAATAGGTATGAAGTGGTGTCTCACTATGGTTTTTATTTGTATTTTTCTAATGATTTGTAATGTTGAGTATCTTTTCATGTGCTTTGTGGCCACTTGTATATCTTCTTTCAGGATATGTCTCTTCAAGTCCTTTGCTCAGTTTTTTTCTTGTTGCGTTTTAGCAGTTCTTTGTATATTGTGAGTATTAATATTTTCTCTCATTATGTGGGTTTCCTTTTTACTCTAGATAGTATCCTTTGATACACAGTTTTAAATTTTGAAGTTCAGTTTGTTTTTTTCTGTTTTTGTCATCTGTGCTTTTGGTGTCATATCCAAGAAGTCATTGCCAAATCCAATGTCATGAAGTTTTTCTCATAAGTTTTCTTCTGATCATCTTATAGTTTTAGCTCTTACATTTAGGTCTTTGATCCACTTTGAGTTAATTTTTGTATATGGTGTTGTGTAAGGATCCAACTTCATTCTTTCACATTAGATATCAAATTTCCCCAGCACAATTTGTTGAAAATACTATCCTTTCCCCATTGCTTGGTCTTGGCACCCTTGTCAAAATCCTTTGACAATATATGCAAGAGTTTATTTCTGGGCTCTCTATTCTATTCCATTGGTCTATACGTCTGTCTTTTTTTTTTTTTTTTGAGACAGAGTCTCACTCTGTTGCCCGGGCTAGCGTGCCATGGCATCAGCCTAGCTCACAGCAACCTCGAACCCTGAGGCTCAAGGGATCCTCCTGCCTTAGCCTCCTGAGTAGCTGGAACTATAGGCACATGCCACCACACCCAACTAATTTTTTCTATTTTTAGTAGAGACAGGGTCTCGCTCTTGCTCAGGCTGGTCTTGAACTCCTAACCTCGAGCAATCCTCCCACCTCAGCCTCCCAGAGTGCTAGGATTACAGGTGTGAGCCACCGTTCCCAGCCTGTATGTCTGTCTTTATGCAAATACCACACTGTTGATTACTATAGCTTTGTAGCAAGTTTTGAAGTCAAGAAGTATGTGTCTTCCAACTTTGTTCTTCTTTTTCAAGGTTTTGGCTATTCAGGGTCCCTTGAGATTCCATATGAATTTTAGGATGGATTTTTCTGTTTCTGCACAAAATGTCATTGGGATTTTGATAGGGGATTGCATTGAATCTGTGGATCGCTTTGGGTATGACCATATGGTCATCTTAATAAGTCTTCCAATTCATGCATATAGATATCTTTCTATTATGTCTTTTTAAATTTATTTCATCAGTGCTTTGTAGTTTTCAGTGCAGAAGTTTTTTACTCCTTTGCTTAAGTTAATTCCTAAGTATTCTTTTTGATGCTATTGTAAATGGAATTGTTTCCTTAATTTTCTTTTCATATTGTTTATTGTTAGTATATAGAAATGGAACTGATTATTGTGTGCTGACTTTGCATCCTGCTACTTTGCTGAATTTGCTTATTCTAAGTTTTTTTGCATGGAATATTTTATATCTTCTACACATAGGATCAAACAGATAATTTTACTTCTTCTTTTCCAATTTGGATGCCTTTTATATTTTTTTCTTGCCTAATTGCTCTGACTAGAATTTTCAATACTATGTTGACTAAAATTACCTTTTAATTTTATACTTTTGCATATTAAAAACTTTCATGTTTAAAGCAGAAATTTGGAAATCAAGCCAATTGTATATTAATGAAATTGCAGAGGTAATTTAGATATGGAAATAAATTATCAGTAGATATTGTTGTATCATTTATTTTAGTTACTATTAAGTTTGGGTGTATATAACAGAAGCCCCAAAACAATAGTTGCTTATATAAGATAGAATTATATTTCTATCATTTAAAAAGTCCAGTGGTACTTACAGAGCACACTGCTACCATGGCTCAAAAAAGAAGTCACAAGAAAAATTAGGAAACATTTTGTATTGAGTAATAAAAATACAACATATCACAATTTGTGGGATTTAGCTAATGTAGTCCTCAGAGGGAAATTTATTGCTTTAAAGGACTAGAGTAGAAAATAAGAAACTTATAAAATCAATGATCTCTGCTTTTGCCTTATTAAGCTCAAAGTAAATACAAAAAAGAAACAAAAATAAAAGTAGAAATTGAATCTTTAGGAAAGATTAATAATGGGAAAGATTAATAATATTGACAGTCCCTAGTAAACCTAGTAAAAAAGAGGAACATCACCACATATTCTACAGGCATTAAAAGGATAATAAAGGGTATATTTAATATACCCTGAGATTTTTATAACCCTGATATCAAAATCAGACAAGAACAGTATAAGTAAGGAAAATTATTAATTATGAACTAATACTTCTATGAACATAGGTATAAAAATCCCTAACAAAATAATGGCAAATTGAATCTAGTCAGATATAAAAGAGATTCTATACTATCATGAAGTGGAGTTTATCCCAGTAATGCAAGGTTAATTCAGTCTACAAAAATCAATGTAATTTACCATATTATCAGACTGAAGGAGAAAATTTTATATGATCATCTCAGGAAAAGCTTTTGACAAAATACAATGCAAGTTTATGATAAACTTGCAGCTTCCTTGGAAACTTTCTTACTTCAAACAAAGCATCTATGAAAAACCTACGTCACACTTAACGATGAAATACCCATGAGATCAAGACTAAAGCAAGGATATCTACTGTCACTACTTCCATTCAACATTGTATTGGTAGTTGTAGCCAGTGCAATGAGATAAAAAGAAATAAAAGATACACAGATTGGAAAAGGAAGAAGTTAAACTGTCTTATTTTCCCCATACAGATAACATAATTGTGTATATAGAAAACCATAAGGAATCTAGGAAAAACTACTAGAACTAGTGAGTGAATTTAACAGTGTCACAGAATATAAGGTCAATATAGAATCACTTATAGTTCTACATTAAAATACATCAAACATTTAGAAAATGGAATTAAAAGTAGTTCAGGAGGAAAGCCATGGAATCCAGTGATGTGAAGTCCATGGCTATCTGGGAAGCCCCATAGTATTAGTGATATAAGTTTCTTTCTGCCATTCCAGAGCATGGTCTCCATCCTCAAGGTCACCTCATGGTCTGTGACAGCTGCTGAAACTTCAGCTATCAGAGTCACACTCCAGGCTGGAATATGGAGAAAGGGCAAATTTTAAGGGAGGAGAGGGGAACCAAACACCTTTCCCAGCTACCTCAGCTCTCTTTTAAAAAGAGCCTTTCTGAAAGTCTCATACCACTTCCACTTGGAGCTTATTAGCCAGACTCTAGTCACGTGGCCACACTGAGAAATGTAGGTAGCACCCTGCTCAGTTAAATGTGAAGAGTCTCACTTAAGAATAAATGAGGGAATGGATGTTGAGACGAACAGCATTCTCAGAACTTCCTTTACCTCACCCTGTTACATTTGGTTTCATATAAAAGAAAATCCCATAACAGTGGTTTCAACAAGATCAAAATTTATTTTTTTACTTTTACTTAAAAAAGTCCTGGGGAAATATTTCCAAAAAAGAAAGAAAAGTTGTGTTAGGAATATGCTGTACTTGATACTTTTGTATTTGACTGCTAAATACTGAGAGGGGTATGGTGTTTTGCTTTCCTTCAGGATTGTCTTTTACAAGCAGCTATATATGTCACATTAACCTATGTCCTTCCTCAGAGACAATGGACCCCAGATAGCCTATGTTCGGGATTTCAAGGCAAAGGTTCAGTATTTCCGGTTCTGGTGTCAGGTTAGTATTGGGACTGTATCTCTGTACTCCCTTTCCTTTGTTGTGTTGCTTTTATTACACAATGATTGTGGAAATAATTAACTATAGAAAAACAGGTATCATTAGAATCTCTTTCCCCTATTTTTATAGAAAAGAAAGATTTATCAATTAGATAATGTGTAACTTCTGTTGTCCAGAAAATTAAGCTTCAAATCATTCGAATAAGAAAACATTATCACTTTTTTGTCAGTACCCATTACTTTCAGATAGCGGAAATCTTCAACTATAAGTCAAAAGATTTTCTGATGTATAAATTCTAACCAGCTGCTTTTATATCTAGCATTTGATATAGATGACTTTGATAGCTAATACATGTATATATGTACATGAACATGTACATACATGGTATATTTAGAGTGTTTTTTGGGGGATGTGATCAATCATTTCAGATGTATAAATATTTAATTGAATTAATGATTTCTTTATGGATTCTGAAGAAAATGAATCCACTAGTCAAAGTGTTACTACAATGAATATTTTTAAACTTCAAACTCTTATAATTAATTGGATTCATAGAAGCAAGAAGAATCTGAATTAACTTTTTGACAATAAAATTAACCAAAGATTTATTTGACACGTTAAGCTAAGCACTGTGCACGTATCTTGTTTTCCTCTGTTTTTAATGTATTGAATAATCAGCTAGCATGAGTGTTCACAAATGCATGGTTAAACATTATTGAATATAAATTCATATTTATAGTCTACTTGTTTCTGTGAGCAAAGATAAAAGTAAATGTAACTTTCCCCTTTTGATTTTTTGATAGGCCATTTTAATGGTGAGAGTTGACTTAAGTCATTCTTATATTTCAGCAACTGGCCATGCCACAGCACATAAAGATTACAGTGACAAGAAAAACATTATTTGAGGATTCCTTTCAACAGGTACTATTTTATTCACTCAAAAGTTATCCTCCTGGCTGCCAGCCCAGGACCACCTTTTGGTGCTGGAAGTTTAATCTGAACAGTTCAGAATTTCTTGGGTTGAAGTTCTTGAATTTTTTAAGTCTAATCTCATTGCCAGCTACCTTCAGGCTTAACATTTAGATAGTTGTGCATGCTTGTATGGTATGTGTTTGTGTTTTGTGCTTTAGAATGTCAGAATAACTTAAAGTGATTAGTGACTTTGAGGTCTCCATTTCTAAGCTGTTAAGTGTTTGATTTGAAATAAATATACAAGTAAGAAAATAGGCTTTCTGTAGAGGTCTAGAAATACCCATATGAACGTTGTTAGCCGAGTAGACAGGAAGGAGAGGGAAAGACTTTGTTTTTAATTTTTTACACTTCTGCATTTTTACAATAAGCATGTTACTCTTGCAGTTAAAAATATTTTTAGGCTGGGCGCGGTGGCTCATGCCTGTAATCCTAGCACTCTGGGAGGCCGAGGCGGGCGGATTGTTTGAGCTCAGGAGTTCGAGACCAGCCTGAGCAAGAGCGAGACCCCGTCTCTACCAAAAAAAATAGAAAGAAATTAATTGGACAACTAAAAATATATAGAAAAAAATTAGCCGGGCATGGTGGCGCATGCCTGTAGTCCCAGCTACTTGGGAGGCTGAGGCAGAAGGATTGCTTGAGCCCAGGAGTCTGAGGTTGCTGTGAGCTAGGCTAATGCCACGGCACTCACTCTAGCCTGGGCAACAAAGTGAGACTCTGTCTCAAAAAAAAAAAAAATTTTTTTTAAATGTAAGAATGAAAATAATTAGTCATTGATGACAATATCTTAAAGATGATGTGGGTTTTCAGAAGTAGTCAACAAATTTTTTTCACTTGTCCTCAGAACCTGAGTTAATTTACTATTTACCTTTATCTTGTGGATATCACTAACAATCAACTGCAACTAAATGTTAAATGATCGTGTTGTAGAGAAGATTAAAATAACCAGTGAAAAAATGTCTTAAAATGAAAACATCTGATTAGTCCTTGTTTTATGGCAAGATGTGGACATGATTATTTCCAAGCACCTATGATATTATTGTAGTGGCTATATCTTCATGAAGTACCAAACTGAATGCAAAGGGAAAAGAGATTGAGATAGTTGACAGTAGCTTGCTACTTGATTTCAGAAAGAATAATGTTAATTTCCTAATGGAACCTCAGTTATTAATGTTAAAGGGAAAAGCCAATTGGCATTCTGCTATGTAGGAGCAGACAGCTTTTTAGCAGGAGTTGAAGCTTGACTGAGGCCATTTAGAGAATTATGAGTCATTCCCTGAAGTATCAGAGGCCATTCCCCACCCTAATTTTTCTCCAATTCTATTCTTAACATTCATAACCACCCTTTCATCACTGAGTAGATCTTTGTGTTGAGCCAGGTTCTTGAAACGTAACTTGCTTGTAGCAGTGCTAAAAGGATGCAAAACATGATTAAGCTGTCCCGTTATCTTTTGACTTTTGAAACCTAAAGGCTTTTGCAGAATAACAGCCCAGATGGTGCTAAAACAGTTATTTAAAACTGTCACCCTAGACTTGACATCCATCAAATAAATGAGTAATAAAAACTTAACAATTTGACAACTTAGCAAGACCCCATCTCTACAAAAAATAGAAAAAATTAGCTGGGCCTGGTGGTGTGCACCTATAGTCCCAGCTACTTGGGAGGCTGAGGCAGGAGGATCGTTTGAGCCCAGGAGTATGAGGTTGCAGTGAGCTATGATCACATCACTGCACTACAGCCCACGCAACAGAGTGAGACGTCTCTTAAAAAACGGCAACAACAAAAAAAACAAGAACACAATTTAATTGCATAAAGGTAACAAATCTGATAGCAAAATTAGCACCATGTTTTCTTCTCTTAGCTGTTGGATAAAGTTGCTTCAGATAGTGTTTCTTCTGTTAACATAACACAACTGCTTACAGGGGAAATTACAGGAGAAAAAAAATTTTTGCTTTCATACTTAGCATTTGTTAAAAGGAATTATTAATATTTAAAGATAGTTTTAACCTTGTGACATCTCTCATTTGCATTGCTATATGCCTTACCCATAGTATTTGTAGAATATTTGTCATAAGCATATATATATGTCCTAAATATGTCATAAGCATTGAACTTTTTCAGTATATCTGGGATTTTCTTATTTGAGTGGGATGTGAATTCATAAAAGTGATGTGTCTGTTTTGTGGGGAACTGAGAGAATCCTGGCATTAACAGGTTACTTATTGATCCTCTCTGGATATTTAAATGTGAGAGTTCATTCTTATCACTTGATAAGGTATAGGCATCATTTCAACTTTTCTCTCCAGGCCGTTGCATTTTTTTCCTAAAAGTAATATCTATATTGTTGTACTGACCCAATTTTGGTCAAATAATTAGTTTTACAGAGGGGGAATCCAAATGATCTATCCACTGTAGCTCAATAATGTTACTATCCTTCAATGAAGATGATCCTATTAACCACCTATAGTGAAACACAATTTGAGCAGTTTTTCTACGTATTTATATATTGCTACTGAGAATGAATTTTCATAGTTAACTGTGTTCTCTCTGCAGCCACTGATTTTCATTTCTAGGTTAGCCAGTTAGCTATCATGTATATCTTTGTAAACAAAACCTAATCAAACCAAAAAAAAAAAAACAAAAAACACCGCTCCTTTGACCATGCCTATAGTTACTCTATGCTTCAAGCAAATTTATATAAGCAACTCTATAAATCAATAGTAACATCATTAAAAATAAAATTGTATGTGTAAAAAGTATATAGAAATATTGATATGCATAATACATATATAAAATATTATGAACTTTAATGTATTTTCTGCATATACATGGTTTTGACTAGACCGTAAACGTCATTCTGTGTCACAGGGGATTTAAGTTACCTATAATGAAGGAAATGTCAAACCTGAAAGTGGTAGCCGTGTTTTAACAACTGCTTTCGCCATTTCTTTTACTTTATTGTTTTGTAGATAATGAGCTTCAATCCCCAAGATCTGCGAAGACGTTTGTGGGTGATTTTTCCAGGAGAAGAAGGTTTAGATTATGGAGGTGTAGCAAGGTAGTGATAATATGAATACTCAGAACTTAGTTCCTTTCTTCCAAAGGTACCATTGCACTTTGCTTGCAAGTATTATTTTCTCAATCTTATAGTTTAGGAAAATGAAATATAGCAAATTATTATACCTTTATTGTGCTGTAGCTACAGAACTTCAACAAACATTAATATAGCACTTCTCTCTAATGTACTGCTACTTGATTTCACCTGCATCACTCATTTAATCATCAGGATGACCCTGTAAGATAAAATTTTACAGATGATGAAGAGGTTTAGAGCCTCACCTAAGGCACATAATAAGTTGTAGAGCCTGGATCCAAGCTTTGTATCATCTAACCAGTAACCAGTGTTCAGTAAACCACCTCATATCTGTCCATAGAGCACACAAGGCCCTGTAGTGATCAGGTCATTTTATGTACCACAGATCAATTATACAGATAATAGTCATTCATGTCCCAACTAAGATTAATATATCATGAGATAGAAGGCTTTATAGGTTTGGAATGTGTTGGTTTAAGAAAAAAAAGGTGGCTTTATGAAATAGGAGTTGAAAGTCTTAATTCTACTTTCTTTTTCATATTGGAGCTTTTAATCAAACCCTAGAAGATAGCCTTCAGCAAGAAATTCCTTTGCTTATTCCATAACAGTATTTCACACCAGGTTATAAATTTGCAAAGCAGTGGCAGTGTGGAAAGGCAAGGACTTTGGGGTCAAGACTGGATTGGAATCTTTTTTTCTGCCCTCAATAATGTGACCTTGGGCAAATATCTTCATCTGTAAAATAAGAATAGTAATATCCACCTTCCTAGGATTATTGTGAAGAGTAGAAATATTGTTTATTAATCACCTAGTCCAGAGCCTGATTCTTGTGTGCTGAATAACTGGTAGCTACATTTTAGTAGTTATTTATATTGTGTTTCCAAGTAAAAATAGTTTCCAAATAAAACTATTTCAAAATGTATGAAGTAATCAAAGATAACTGACAAATTAGAATAATAAAACAGAGTAGAAACATTTAATTTTTGTTCAAGTTAGGGATAATTCAGAAGGAAGGCAATCATTCATTCATAATCAGAAAATCAACTAGCAATATTAAAGTATAAGCAGCATTACCACCAGAGGCCATGAACTAACAGAAAAAGAGATCTAGGAGATGAGCTATGATACCACACGTATTGCCAGATCTGCTCTGTCAGACCTACCCACGTTACACAGTTTTAGCAGCCATAATCTTATGTTAATATGGGTTCATATTTTCATAGCATTTGAATTAGAGCTTCTCAGAGCATTTTTCTAATAAATGAGTGGCGAGAATTAAGTACTTTACTGCTTCTGTGAAATTGGAAAGTTTTTCATATTCATCTAAGATATAGGGAGTAGTAGCAATTTGATGGGGATCATTACGGGACTTAGTAATAGATGGTATTACTAGTAGGCTCATTTCAGCTGCTCCAATCACATTGGTCATTAGTGAAGTTTGAATTTGCCTATGTATAGTATTTCATCTATTCTAAGACTAACATTTTCATATTTTAATGTCTCTGAAATTGGGATGATTATCACAAGTATAGTTGGAAAAAATTTTAGTGGTTCATCAAATAAAGGTGAAATGATGTCTTAGATTCTTTGAAATATAATAATGAGCAGTGCATAACTATCATCTCTGTAAAATAGATGGAAGTTTGAACAGAAGCAGTAAAAAACCACCATGAGATTAGAAAACTATCACCAGCTGAGAATTGTAGATTCCTGAGAACTTTGTAGCATTGCTTTTTTATTTTTTGCTATGGTTACTTGCAAGATTTTTCATCATAAATTTTCTTTTGATTTCAGAGAATGGTTCTTTCTTTTGTCACATGAAGTGTTGAACCCAATGTATTGCCTGTTTGAATATGCAGGGAAGGATAACTACTGCTTGCAGATAAACCCTGCTTCTTATATCAATCCAGATCACCTGAAATATTTTCGTTTTATTGGCAGGTTTATTGCCATGGTAAGTGCAGCTAGAGAACTGTGCATTTACTTTGCTAATTCAGCAATACTAAGTTTTCTCCTTGTGCCATAACAGATCTTATATATGACAAGGATGTTTTTTTACGTGAAGAATTTATCTAACATTTTCAAATAAAATGACTGTTACACAATTATCCTAAATGGTATTGTTTCCCTTTCTCATAGGCTCTGTTCCACGGGAAATTCATAGATACAGGTTTTTCTTTACCATTCTACAAGCGTATCTTGAACAAACCTGTTGGTCTCAAGGATTTAGAATCTGTTGATCCAGAATTTTACAATTCTCTCATCTGGGTTAAGTAAGTTTCCGTTGCCATTTAGTTTACTAAAATATAGTTTAATATGCTTTCATTATGGTATTGGCAACTTATCTAAACTGTAAACAATGTAATTGATTTATTCAGTTTAAATGATCTGTACATCAAACCTGTCCTATTATTTAATATGCTAAATTTTATAGAAATGTACCCAAGATATCTTATGCAATAATATAACCTTGGAGGACAATCTTCCAATTTCTTCTTATTTTGGTGTCATAGGTTAATTTAAGAACATAGTTTAGTTAAAACTTTTAAATTATGATTGCATTGGCGGATATAACAAATATTGCTAATTTCATTTGTACAGAGAAAATAACATTGAGGAATGTGGTTTGGAAATGTACTTCTCCGTCGATAAAGAAATTCTAGGTGAAATTAAGAGTCATGATTTGAAACCCAATGGCGGTAATATTCTTGTAACAGAAGAAAATAAAGAGGAGTACATCAGGTGAGAGAGTGCTCCTTTTGACATACTTCAACCTTTCCGTGGGACTATACCATGTTGATAATTGCCTATTAGGACTAATGTACAATATCTCAAAAAAATATTTGTCTTTGTACTTAACATCATCCTATGGTAGGCAGTTATTTCTCATTTCTAAAAACAGTATTTTTAAAAAGTGTGAGTTTTGGTTTTTTTTTAAGAGACATGATCTTGTTCTGTCGCCCAGGCTGAAGTGCATTGGTGTCATCATAGCTCACTGTAACCTCGAACTCCTGGCCCCAAACAATCCTCCCACCTCAGCCTCCCAAACTTTTTGGATTACAGGCATGAGCCACAGTGCCTGGCCTAAAAAGTATTTTTAAAAGAGTTTTAAGGGCAGAAGTCATGCTGGATCACTCTTTTAAATACCAATTCTGTAACCACTATGCTATATAACATGTCATTAAAAAGAATCTCAAATTTATATGTAGATGTTGTTATGGGGACTATTATAAGATCAGGTAAAATTTATAAATAAAATGATAGTTTATAGTGTATCCTCTCATTCTTTGCATTAGTTCATACTTCTAGTCTCAAGAGTTAGTAGTTCATTCATATCTTCTTAACAGCAATTCTGTCCAGTCAGGGTTAAATTTAGTATATCTGCTTATTAAGCTACAGTTTTTCTGAGTTTCTTGCCTGAGTTTCCCTCCAAAATTAAAATTACACTATATGACACAGTGGACAGTCACTGTTGGTAAATAATCTATCCTTTTAAAATTTTAATTAATTTAAAATATCCTCTTAAAATTTCATTTTTGTTAATTCTTTGCACAGTTTTTTTTATTATGGTATGTCTAGATTTTGTTATGATATATCTAGAATAACTGGAGAAGAAATGATTCAAGGTTCTAAGTAAATAAGAGATGTATTACATTCCTCAGTAGTTTTGTTGTTGGTAATATAACATTTTAAGATAATGGATAGCAAAAAAGGTTTTTATATCTTACAGGTTTGCTCAAAATTTCAGAGTTATTGGGGTTTTTAAAACATATTTTTTAGGCCGGGCACGGTGGCTCACGCCTGTAATCCTAGCTCTCTGGGAGGCCGAGACGGACGGATTGTTTGAGCTCAGGAGTTCGAAACCAGCCTGAGCAAGAGCGAGACCCCGTCTCTACTAAAATTAGAAAGAAATTAATTGGACAACTAAAAATATATAGAAAAAATTAGCCGGGCATGGTGGTGCATGCATGTAGTCCCAGCTACTTGGGAGGCTGAGGCAGGAGGCTCGCTTGAGCCCAGGAGTTTGAGGTTGCTGTGAGCGAGGATGACGCCACGGCACTCTAGCCTGGGCAACACAGTGAGACTCTGTCTCAAAAAAAAAAAAAAAAAATATTTTTTAAAGAGGTATAATTAGAGTAAAATATATAGATTTTAAGTGCAGAGTTTGAATTTTGATAAATGTGTTTATCAGCCTAAATGTGAGCATTGTAAAGGTAGAATAGTGCTAGATCACTATTCTAAATACCAGTTCTGTAAACACTATTCTGTATGACTTATCCATGTAAACATGACTCAAATCAAATTATGGAATGTTCTTTTTCCTTCTTGCCCCCCGATAAGGGGGCAATACCATACCCATCTCTCTTTCCCTGGTCTAGAAGCAACCGGTTCTGTTTAGTTTTGGTTCTATACCTATGTCTCATCTTGAATTTCCTAAAGTGAAATTGTATAGTATGTACTCATATATGGCTTTTTTATTCTTTTTTCATTTTTTTTTTTTGATTCTTTTTTAATATTTTTTCTTTTTTTAGAGATGGGGTCTCATTCTTGCTCAGGCTGGTCTTGAACTCCTGACCTTGAGTGATTCTCCTGCCTTGGCCTCCCAGAGTGCTAGGATTACGGGTGTGAGACACCACGCCCAGACCTCATATATGGCTTTTTGTGTCTGGTTTTTTCTTCTACTCATTGTTTGTAGGATTCAGCGATGTGTATATCAGTATTTTTTCCTTACTGTTGCTGAGAAGAATTCAGTTTTGTGTATATATCAAAATTTGTTTATCCGTTCTCTTATTAATGGGCATTTGGATTGTTTTCCAATTTGGAGCTATGATGAATAAAGCTGCTATGAACACCCTTGATGAGTCTTTTTGTCGATGTATTTCTCTTGAGTAAATACTGATGGGTCTTAGCATAGGCATTTATTAGAAGCTGCCCAACAGTTTCCCAAGTGATTGTGCCATTTTACAGTCCTACTAGCAATATTTGAGAGTTGCTTCACATTCCTGCCAACTCAGTATTGTCAGTAGTATCTCACGGTGGTTTTAATTTCCATTTCTCCTTTGACTAATGGTGTTGAGTACTTTTTTGTGTGCATATTGATTTTGTAGCTCTTCTTTTGTGATGTGTCTATTCATATCTTTTGTGCATTTTATAATTGAATTACCTTTTGTCTTTTTATTGTTTGTAGTTCTTTTTTTTTTTTTCCTTAAGAGAGAAGTCTCACTATGTGCTCAGGCTGGCCTTGAACTCCTGGCCTTGTGTGATCCTCCTGAGTAGCTGGGACTACAGGTGCACACCACCGTGCCCTGCTTAACTGTAGGAGTTCTTTATATGTTCTGGATCAGTGATGTTAATCCTCTTGATTTTCTAATATAGGCATTTAAAGCTATAAATTTCCAACTAAGCACTACTTTAGCTACATCCCACAAATTTCAGTATGTTGCATTTTTCATTATCATTCAGTTCAAAATATTTTCTAATGTCCCTTACAGTTTCTTCTTTGATCCTTAAGTTATTTAGAAGTATAATATTTAGGCCAGCTGCGGTGGCTCACACCTGTAATTCCAGCACTTGGGAGGCCACGGTGGGATGATCACTTGAGACCAGGAGTACAAGACCAGCCTGAGGAACATAGCAAGACTACGTCTCTGCAAAATATTTTTAAAATAGATGGGTGTGGTGGTACATGCCTGTAGTCCTAGCTACTCAGGAGGCTGAAGCAGGAGGATTGGTTGAGCCAGGAGTTCAAGGCTGCAATGGGTATGATCACACCACTGCACTCAAGCAGCCTGGGTGACAGTGAAATCCTATCTCTTAAAAAATAAATAAATAGAAGTAGTAGTATACTGTTAAATTTCCAAATATCTGAGGATTTTCCAGACACCTTTCTATTTTCTAATTCAATTCTGTTATGCTCAGGGAACATCCTCTGTATTATTTCAGTGATTTTAAATGTTTCAATACTTGTGTTTATAATCCAACACATGGTCTATTTTGTACACTCGAAAATGTATATATTGCCATTATTGGGTTAGTGTTCTATAAATGTCAGTTAGATCAAGTCGGTTGATAGTGTTAAGGCTTTCTATATCCTTACTCTTTTTTTTGTCTGTTCTATCAGATGTGTGAGAAATATTCTTTTTTTTTCTTTTTTTTTTGAGACAGAGTCTCACTGTGTTGCCCGGG